GAGTTGTGGTCCTTGCAGAGCACATCGGATGGTCTAGGTGCTCAAGATGTCATAGCTCTGTAAATGGGACTTCCCTGGGAGACAAGATTCGAGTGGAGAATTTCACCCAGCGTGTGAGCACAGGCTGCGCTGAGGGTTAGCTTTGTGCAGCAAAACAAATGAATTGGCTGTGGCCAAAACTATGCATTTTTTCTCCACGTATCATCACAGCATTAGATATATTACTGTCGCTGTCAAAGTGCAGATTTAGCTGTGATATTCACTAAGAATTGGGGAGGGCAGGAAAGGGGGGATTTGTTTCATAGAAATACCTTCCCCACATGTTTTCCGAGACCCCAGGTTTTCTCACAAAGCAGAACAAATCACACCCGTAGCATTTCTGTTCAGTTCCATACAGCTGTGTGCTGCAGGTGGTACCCTAAAAATATGTTTTTTCAGTTTGCAGCACTGCAGGCTGCAAAGCTGCACTGAAGAATGAAATAGATTCCCCTCCCTCGCATTTGCCCTTCTTCACTCTGAACCCCTCTCTCTTTTCAACTTGCTGGAAGAAGATGGTAAGATGTAGACATAAAGAGATAGCGATGTGGCTCAGTCTCAAAAGAGCCAAATGGGACGTATTGATATGGAGCACAGAGTGAAAACTGACAAGCATGGTGCGCAGCGCAGAGATTTTGGTGGCATACCACTTCATAGAGGCAACTACCACAATAATTGAGTGAAAAATCAGTGGAAGTTTTTCAAAATAGATTTCCATAAACATGAAAAAAATCAGACAGTAGCTGAGCAAGAAGTAGTGTGCTGACATGGAAGTGGCTACAGGACAAACATAAATGTGCATCATATGGTCATTTTTTATATCTGTGATACAAGGACTGGTTTACTGATAGGCTCTGCAGAGGATGTAGTCTTCCACCGGGATCACCTGGAGCACTAAGTGCTCTGTGTCATGGGAAAAGGAGCGGTTGTGGCTGCTTTGCCGCCCCTATTATCACTTTGGGTTATTCCAGACCCTCTTTGCATACATAAATGCTAAATACCCAAATTGGGATAATCTTTGTTTTATCAGAGCATTTTCTTGCATAGATTAGTTCTAAATTTTTCCCCATTTTGAAGATTTTCTAAACCATGAGTATTCAGCTGGTCAAACTATAGAGACCACCAAACTGAATTTTCTGTTACTTCTTCAGCGTGTGCTAGACTAGCAATTTTGCCCAGTTGTTTGTCTATCCTGAGCAAAATTCCCTCCTCAGGAGAAGCTGACAAAATACCTGTGCATCATCACATATGTCTCTCTTTAGTCTCTAAGGCCGGTATTACAAAATGAACACGACGAACACAACCATTCTGCACACCAAGGACTGTCCTGACCTTTGGGATCATTTAACCTTCCAGTTGGTTTAATTTTGTTTAAACTTTGTTTAAGCAGTAGGGGAAATGAAAATTCTTCAAAATTTCCTTCTTAAAAACCTAAAATCTGTGTCGACTTGCACAAAATTAGCAGCAGCATTGGTATGGTTCACAATCTGGTGCTGTTTGCTTCCATGACATGTTGCTCTGGGGAGAGAAGGTCTCTTGTAGGCTATGCATATTCTGCACCTCCTCAGCAGAGTATCTGTCTGCAACTCTTGAACTATTCCACAGCCCACCTTGAGACTTGCTTTTTAGAAAGTATAAACCATGGGGGTTTTATAGCTTTTATCTTAGCTGTAATATTCTTTCCACTAAGTAATCCACAGCAAATATCACATCTATGTGAAGCCTAACCTTCTGTAGCTGGATTCCGTGTGAGCTTACTGGCAAGCTGTACAAAATACACTCAGTGTAATGTTTTCAAAGACTGATATAAGTGGTCCTCAGTGAAGCTGAATGTCTTTGTAACTTTTTATCTGTAGGCAGCAGAAAACATCCTTAAAAACATGCTGCAGTGCCACCAGTCCATGGAAGAGCCAAGATCAACATTAGCTTGATCATTGTCATGAACGTACAGAAATACAAATAGAAAGCAAACAATCAATTTGTAGGTTGAAATTTATAGTTTTATAGCTAAAATGCAAGATCCACTTAAGCGCCCGTAAAAGAAAATTTAAAGGAAAGATTTATTTCTTTCTACTAACTGGAGATAAACCTGATCTAAGGTTTGGGTTTGTTGGAAGCTCATTTGCTGAAACCCAGCTCTTCTAACTTTGTGTTATACGTCACTGAGCAGTACCAGGTAATTCCTTTTTCTCACCACATTTAATATGACAGTGAATTTATACTAGCATTTCTATTTGAAAAAGAACCGCATGCCCACAACTGGAAATGTGAAAATGATGTAAACAGCAAAGCTGCAAGCACCAGGTTTGGAAATTTGACCCGTACTTACACTGTGTAGCTCTTTACCTATGATAATCACATTTACAGTAACATGAATGGAAATATAAAAACAGGTGTAGTTGGCTACAGCTAGAGGATTACCCGGATTACCAATGGTTTGTTATTCTGAACCATTCCCATGACTTGCAAAGAATGACCTTATCTAGAAACACAGCTCTGTTCAGGCACAGGCACACAAAAAGTCTTGTTGCATCAGGAACAGATTTGAGCTTGAACGATATATTCCTTGAGTTTTTTGTTCATCACTTATTACGTACAAAAAAATAAGGCAGAAAAATAAGCCTGGACATCTCCTTTGGAGGGCTTGAGGGTAGGAATTTTCTACAGAGGGATCTCTACAGGCTGGATCGATGGGCCAAGGCCATTTGTATTCAACAAGGCCAAGTGCCAAGTCCTGCACTTGAGTCACAACAACCCCATGCAGAACTACAGGCTTGGGAAAAGTGGCCAGAAAGCTGCCTGGAGGAAAAGGACCTGGGGGTGCTGGTCAACAGCCGGCTGAATATGAGCCAGCAGTGTGCCCAGGTGACCAGGAAGGCCAATAGCATCCTGGCCTGTATCAAGAATAGAGTGGCCAGCAGGACTAGGGAAGTGATTGTCCCCCTGTACTCAGCACTGGTGAGGCCCCACGTCAAGTACCGTGTTCAGTTTTGGGCCTCTCACTACAAGGACAACATTGAGGTTGTTGGAGCGTGTCCAAAGAAGGGCAAAAAAGCTGGTGAAGGGTCTAGAACACAAGTCTTATGAGGAGCAGCTGAGGGAACTGGAGTTGTTTAGCCTGGAGAAGAGGAGGCTGAGGGGAGACCTTATCGCTCTCTACAACTACCTGAAAGGAGGTTGTAGAGAGGTGGGTGTCAGTCTCTTCTCCCAAGTAACAAGCGATAGGGTGAGAAGAAATGGCCTCATGTTGCACCAGGGAGGTTTAGATTGGATCTTACGAAAAATGTCTTCACCACAAGGGATATCAAGCATTGGAACAGGCTGCCCAGGGAAGTGGTTGATTCATCGTCCCCGGAGGTATTTAAAAGACATGTAGACGTGGTGCTTAGGGACATGGTTTAGTGGTGGACTCGACAGTGCTAGGATAAGTGCTAGGACTTGATGATCTTAGGGGTCTTTTCCAACTTGATTCAAGGATTCTAGGATTCTATGAGTTAAGCTTGAGTGATAACAATTGCTTGTAAATAAAATTGTAAAGTTATTTTAATCTTACTTATTTATTCATGCTGAATTTGTTTCACTTTTCTCTTTGTCTGTTTTGCACCAGCTGCAGCTTGTCAAAATTGCAGGTATGAACTATCTGGAGCAAGGTCTGCTTTTGTCTTACAGACCTATCTAGTGTCTGCCTTGCAACCTACTTGGTCAGTGTCCCTTTGGTCTGCTACAACATGCCAACCTGAGGTGCATGGAGAAGACCTGGAATGGCTCCACTGAAGGGATGTAACTGGGCCTTCAGGTGAATCAGCCGCCAATCTTTCACACATAGAGCCCATGCAGAGATGTATTGACAAAGAGATATACTGTGCCAAACTCACCTGGTACTTGGTCATTTACAACTAGGCTGGGGAATAGACAGATGGAAAAGCTGCTCGCTTTTTGGGTAGCTGAGGGCCACATTATGTATTATGGACTGTCCAACTGCCTTACATTAACTTCTGGATCTGACTAACTAGGTTTCCTCTCTCTTTTTGCCAGTATGGTCCCTCTTTGGACGAAACATTGGAATCTCTTGACCAAAAAATTTATATAGAAGGAGTCATGTACCCAGTCACTGGTCCAAATTTAGATGTATACTAACAGTTCTATTTGCAGTCATATGTATCTCCGCCTAAGCTTAAACATGTTTGTATCACTAGAGCAAACATAAAAATGCAGATTGCCATTCAATGTCAGTGTTTATGTCATCTTTTCACCAAGGTCAGAGACAACACAAGTCAAAAGTGTTAGTACAGGTAAATATGGTTGAAAAAACCTCTCAATTTCCCCCAAAACAATTTCCCCCAAAACAAGCTGTTTTCATTCCTTATGCATTTTCTGCAGTATAATGGTGGATTCTTATCCTCCTAAAAAGATCTAAGATTTCTGGTTTTGATTTTCACACAAGGACATTTTTACCTTTTGGGAAGAACCTTTCCCATTCAACTCAAATGCATATTGACTAATATGGCTAAAGACAAATTGATCAGTTTTGAGTCCTGTGAACTGATCACTGTATCTATTTTTACTGTTGAAAATTTCTCATTCATTTTGGCTTTTCTTTTATATTCAATTTGGCTTTCACAGCAATAGCTGTAACTTATTATGTCACAACTTACATCCTATAGTGTAATTTCAATGTGACCTGCTATGAATGATTTGCGGCACAGTCAATGGTCAAAATGAAGGTCAGGAAAACAGTGTGTGTCATGTTGGCAGTTTTCTCAGCAATAAACATGTATGTTGGAGTTTTTCGTGTACAGGTGACTTGAACTAGCTGCAAGACAACAAGAGTTTCATAACAAAACTAACACATCGAGCCAGGGGTTGTGAATGAACGCCACAATACTCCACTCCTCTGGTAATGACATTCTGCAAGAAGAAATCTAGAAAAGGTGGTGGAAGTGAAGCTGTCTATAAACACTTACTGCAAGGAAGATCTGAAGAGAACTGTGAGCCACTTCTATGTACTGATATTCAAGAAAACACCCCGAGACAGTGATATAACGATGATCCTCTGGTGCCCAGTCAGGGGCTGGGGTTACTGAGGTCACGGTGCAGCCCGGCCCATTCTCCATCCACCAAGAACGATGCATGGAGATATTAAAGGTCAGAATGAGATCTGTTTCCTGCAAAAGAACAAGTGAAGAATTAATGCGCTGGGATGGTACTCTGGTATCAAATGCCTCAGCAAGAGATTTCACAGGATGCATAAAGAAGCAAAGAGCAGCGATAAAACTGCACAGTCACATGAAAGTTAGTGGAGCTTGCCTGCAGCAAGCACAAGCAGCTGTGCCTTGGCAGGCAGAATTGCTTTGGAGCAGAAGAATAACCCTGAAAGCCAGGATCTGTTCCGAGACATTATGGTAGGCTAGACTATAGCAGTCATTTCTGTTACATTGCCCATTTTCCTGCAGAAACCACAAGAACTGATGCACGTGCACGTTTACACAGCAACTGTCCCCTGAACAGTTCCTAGAAATATGGCCCATATTTTGGTGGTCTGATGTACCAAATTATACAAGAGCCCATGGGAACCAAGACTTCATAGACTTTAATATGTGTGGGTCATCTGCAAGGAGTTTTGTCTCCGGACCCTGTGAAGCAGACCTGGGGTAGCTCTGCTGAAATATTGGAGATGATGTAAAAAAAGGATTCTGTACATTTGCTTACAAGTATAGACTCTTTGTAATGCCTCTTTCAGATTTCTAACTTCCTCGGAGCCTGTAAGGAAAAAGTTAGGGAGTGCTGCCTTCCCTAAACACTGCTTCGCCTGTTAAAAAGTAGGGGCGCGGAGGCCTGCAACCTTTAACTCCCATGCAGCTAGTGCAATGGAGTAACTAGTCAGCCTTCCTTTCCATCAAGATTGCATTTATAAATAGTTCATAAAGGATTAATAAATGATTAATATACATTATAAACAATACTACAGATATGGCTTTCATAAATTATACTTGGTTGCACATTACTTGAGGGTGTTATACGTAGTTATAACAAAACTATGGACTTGGTGGGTTCTGTAAGAGCCTACAGTGTTTACCAGCCCTTTATAAATTATTTATAAGTGTAACCTCATTGTAAATTGTGACTATCTAGTCTGTGTGCACATGTGCTCAGTCATGCAAAAGAAATTGCTTTTAAGTAATGTCTTTGCAGAGCCAAACTCTCCGCACACCTAACCTACATTTTTTTCAGCCTGTTGATGACATTAATAATTAAGATTCTCATAAAGATTTTAAAATGCAACTATTTAATTAGGTTTACCATGCCAAAAGAATAAACAGAATGCCATCGTGTAGCAGATATGTTGTGTCCACATTTCCTTCCTTTCAAAAATAATCATTTTTTCAATGCCACTTATTTTCCCTTTTTGCACTAACTCATGCAAAGGTAACTCCATCCAGAGAGGTTTTGGATAATGTCATGACTGTCACGTCAATCCATCTGCGATTACACTTAATACTATGGTGTAGCAGAATGTTTTTTCTTTAAGTTGCAGGTCTTGTCTAAAAGTGCATTTAAAAAAATCAGTTATTACCCTGTATAAGCACACCCAGGTATCAGGTTGCAGGAAGGACCACAAATATTTTTGTGATGAGCAATTACCCTACATTCTCACAACAGCCCAATCCAGCAAATAATAAGCTGTACAAGAAAATGAAAATGAATTTAGTCATGCAACTATCTTCAATGATATGAAGGTGATCAAAGGAACAGCGAACATGTATATAAACTCCACAAAATTTCCCAAAATAGATATATTTACCTATGGCTATAAGTCTTCACACCCAACAAACCTTTCCTTTTTCTCGACCCCTCTCTACCAAAGCTGCAGACACTGGAAAGTGTCTGCCAGATTTTTCTTGGAAATGGGCATTTTTACCTTACATCCAAGCCAGAAGACTATTTTTCTTTCTGGAGTCAGGGCTGTTATGGCCCCTCCGTAGCACACTGGCCTTCTCACCCAGTGAATCTGAAGAATGGGTATCTTTGGAGTAACTTTGCTTAAAGAGATTTATTCCTGAATGACTAAAGTTGGAATCCATCATGTTATGGCCAGAAGACCTTTAAGCCATTCTAGTTTCCATGGAAAATTCTTAACCTCTCGTCTCTTATCAGAGATGCAGCCTGAACGAATAGGACTCATTGTCTGGCTCTATTTCATCATTTGCAGTACCTTCAGAAGAATCATGATGGACTAAAAATATTTTACAAAGTGCAGACAGAGGATGAAAAATGTATTCCTTGAAGAAGAAAGGGGTAAACTGGCTTGCAGGAACTTAGTATTTGTTATGCATCTGCCAGATGAAGTCAAAATGGATCAGGAGGAGCTAAACTTAAAGATCAAAATTGGGCTCTCTGGTTAGAATATCATTGCTCGAGACGTAGTTATGTTTGCTTACAAAGGGTGCAGTAATCCAAAACTTTACAGGTTAAAAGCACAAGTCAATTTTCAAGTTACACAGGAAATATCACATGTTAAAATATTTATAATTACATATGTAAACAAAACTTCACAAAGTCCAGCTTTCTTCCATCCCTGAATTTATCCCCAGATGACTTTCTGAAATAATTTTTTATGTTTAGAAAATTCCTTTGCCCTCAAATTATTTTTTGGTAGTTAAGTTGAATGCTGTGATTAGGACTAAATAATCTTGTTTTGTTCAGGAATAGTGCTTACTAGTAAAAAATTACAGATCTTTATCAGATCTATATTCTGTTTCTATTTCCAAGTAATCAGTAAAATGCTGTTTTGTTTCCTCTTCTCATACAATAGATCCGATACCTGTCATAGAAAATGCTATATTCATAAAAACAAATAAATCCTACTGAAAGCCCTGACTTCAAATCTTAAAGACCTTTGAATAATGTGGTTGAGAAGGCTTTCAAGGAGTGTAGCTATTACGTATTGAATCAGTTAACAAACAAGGCCAACTTCAGAAAGCAAAACAATAACTGGAGGTGAAATCTAGTTCTGGTAACATGAGATGTCATCCATGGCTCAGGTCAAACTTGGCTGGAATAAGAATGACAATGAAGCCAGACTTTCACAAGCAAACACCTACGTTACACCCTGTGAATTCCTATGCCCAAAACATATGGGATAAGAATAAAAGCCAAAGGAGCCTACTCACTACAAAATCAGCTGCTGCACAGTTAGCTCTTCTCAGGTATTAATTGTTATGGGCTTCGAACTTGCCTATAACCTTCAAACCACGTCCCCTTATATGCAACCATATAAATAGAGCAGTTCCTTAGTAGTGAAGGTCAACCAGCTTACGTAAAAGTTTTACTTCTTAGTGAGAAAACTGACAAGGACTTGAATCTTCTTGTAGAACTGTGTAAGCCAAAGATGGGATGATGTATCTATCATTAACATCTCTTATACTGAAAACATTTAGAGCTATTTTTGGATAAACTCCACTTGTTATTTACTTTATTCACTGTCTGAATACAGTTTTAGGGGACATAGACAATGTCTACTCTGGAAGCTGGGGATTTGTTGTACTCTCCAGTGTATTCGCTGTCTGTTTTCTTTCCAACATCTGTGGCTCAAACATTGTTCAGGGAAATGCAGAGAAATGGTCTGATAAGCCTTGAAGCTACGAAACCTAACAAGAACTGTTGATACACATTGGGCATGCTGCTATGGTGTTGTTCACAGGCTGTACGTCAAGGAAGATTTCATTATTCTAAATTCAACAAACAGCTGCTTCCTTCACGGACACAGAAATACATCTGTATGAGCTTTATTGATGATCACTGTGCCGCTTTTGTAAATCCTGCTGGTATTTGTAAAGCCTGTTAATGAAAATTGGTGCATTAAAGTAGATTTTGCTATTCATCAAGGAGGAAAAAAAACCCAGAAAAATATTTAGTAGGACATCTTTTCTGACATTCTTAAGATGTGCTGGTATTTGTAGTGGTCAGGAGAAGTACTGCTGGATTAAACAAAGGCAAGAGTTTGGAGGTCTGAGACTCAGATCTCAGAGATTAGAAGCTGAGACACCTTCAAATTAAGGCCAAATTTATTTCAGCTTATTTTGTAAAAAATGTTGAGCTCTGATGGTTTTGTGCCCGTGTTTAATACAGCAGATAACAACTTTTGCTGGGGTTAACTGCATACTACAAAAAATTTTCTGGCTGAGGACAGCTGATGACAGAATGTGGCAGCAGAAAGCTTTGTGAGAGCTGCCAGAAATGAATACAACCTTCTTTGCATTAAGAAGCAGCAGGAGAACAGCAGTGCTCAAAATGAAGATAGCTCTGTGTGTATTGTATTACTACTAGTACATATCAGTAAGCATATGATCTCTATGTAGTAACTACAATATATTACTGTTTCAATAATTTTTCTTAGGTGCAGCTTAGAGAAGCTGATCCCAAGCACAGTGCCAAGAGAAAAAAAAAAGAGGCAGCAGTGATTCAGGCTGATTCTCTTTGAAAGTCCAGGAGATCTTGCAGACTCGAGGAAATTAAATTGTACTGACTTCAATGGTTGTGGCTTGCTGTGTCATGGGAAATAAGTTTCTTCCATTTTTCTAATTGGGAATTGCTGAAACCTGTGCAACGTGCCAAGCTTCTGTACAAGTTTTGTCAAATACAACCGTGTAACCATTTGTTTCATTTTTCAAACTCAAGCTAGCAAGAACAGGCTGCTTGGAGAGTGAATGATCACACGAGGTTTCAGTGATAAAAGATCACGGTCTGAAAGCATTTGTAGTTCTGGATGCCTTGGATACACAGAGGCCTCTACAGGCATTTTTTTTTTCTTCTGTTATCTCACTTTTCCACTAAAACCAGCTCCCATCAGGCGGTACCATTTTCTCACGCAAGCAGACCTTTTCCTTTCTAAAGGAAAAACTCACCCCACTGAAGGGTCAAAAGAGAGCTTGGCAGCTGTGTTTCTTTTTTTTTTTTCTTTTTCTTTTCTTTTTAATCCACAGTTGATATACAGGAAATAATTATTGAATAATTGTGTGGGGATGATGTTTATTTAGTGTTCCTGTTCTTTTTTATCCTGTTGCATCTGAACTGATTTTTAGCCTCTCCACTTTTTCGTATGTGTGTGACTTTCCCTTTCATTTGAGTATCATTTGTTTTCAGTAGCCTAGAACCCTGGTCT